AAGAATAAAAGTGCCTATATTTGTTTTCATAAGCTAATATGGTCGCTCAGTATGAAACAATGGCTGTAGTTAATTCCGAATGATATTGTTCAGTAGTGAGATTTTATTGGAAATAAACATCCACAACGGACTCATTATTGATTGCAATTATTAAATGTTGTCAAACTCTCGCGAAACAAGTCAATTGCCGATGCCACAAGTAGTTGGAGTTTGACAACGTCTTAAACAGTAACACCTTCTATTATGAATCGTACCTACCAAGGGAAATCAAAAGTCAGAAGCTAGGAAGTTCGAAGATATGTTTGATAGGCTATCAATATATCGAAGATCGTCTGATCTAATCTGGCTAGCGATTGCAGGGGTTGTTGAGCTATTTATTTCGGGGATTTATTTAACGCTACGTAGTTTCTATTTGATGAAGACAATAACGAGAATAGTAAAAATCCAGTTTCTATATTTTGTCAACAAGATTACATAAGTTGTTAAGTGAACAATCATAAGAATATACGTAATTCCATAAAGAAATTGTTCAAACTATTGAAATGAATAATGATATGAAAAGTGTTCTAAAGAAGTACTAAATGAAAACAATTTGGAATAATCAAACAACGTTATAAGACATTTGTGAGAATCATCCTTTACTTCACTTTCTTTGATGTAGCCATCTCCAAATTATTAAACCAACACATACAGCAAAGAAAATGGTTACTAAAGGAATTACGATATACAAGTACCGTAGTGATTTCTTATCTACATTCTCTTCAGTAGTCATGTTCTGAAGAAAAACAAAATATTAGCATTTATTGCTAAATATCAAATATTTACATTCATATTTGCATTCGTACAATCATTTAGAGCATCTACTACCGATTTGACAGTCTGTATACACGCCATTCTGAAACCAATAGACGACTAAATTGTGTGATGAAATTTGTGTTCTGAATGTCGCATCTAATCACAATCCGAATAAAAACCAATAAACTTAAAATTGATTTTTTTAATCAAAACAATGTAAACAGGTTACACATTACTTAGCAGAGAGTCAGAAATCCTTGTTCTGAACATGAACAATAGAGTCTACTTCCACTCTTTATCAAAATATGACACTCAAGTCCCAAAAGATTACGCTTCCTGAATCAAACTGGTTTCATCGGTATTTTGCAACAATCCACATAGATATGCGTTTTCTAAAATAACCACACTTTCAATGAGCTGAAATATCATTACTTTTTTCGAGTATCAGTGACAATGACCACTTCCACCCATTGTTTACTCATTCCATAGAAAGAAAGCATGGTACTCATATGAGATTAGTTGACGTCAATGTACACAAAACTTTAATTGAGTCATTGAGGGTAGTATACCAGTTATTTTTTATTCGTAAAGAAAAAAATATTCCTTTCGGTGAATGGATGTACGCGAAATGTGTAATTTTTCAATATTGAAAATGACCTGTGAAGATTAAGAAGTACAAACCTTAACACGAAAGTTATTAACTTTCATGTTATGAGCATCCCGGTCAGTACTTTCAATGCATAGCTTCGCTTTATCACACCAAAAACAAGTTATATCCAATGTTGTTGCCTGTTGGCATGCTTCAGGTGAAGTGTATTTTGGACAATAGTCTGTGAAAAGAATGAGACGATTTAATTTCAAGTGACCAAACAAAAGGCAAGTGAATTACAAAACATGTAACAATAACCCAAAGATATAATGCTGATTTCGGCGTGAAGTGACAATTTCACTGACTGGAAAATTGTCACTACGATGCATAATGCAATATTCAGTGCGCCATCAATTTCAATCATGTTTCGCGACATCATGTTTGAATTGAATGAAACTATGTCGAATGTCAAGTATAAACGATGGATTTTAATGACTGTTTACATTCAGACACGTATGCACGAAGCTGTCAGTGGACTCAGCGGTGCACATTACATTGAATTTTTCATGGATGATAACAAAGTATGTAACTGCTTTGTGTTCTTTGTGCTATCAGTTATTCTATGAAACTAGCTGGACCGGTAAATATTCATTGATGATGAACAGAGTATCTTATTCGAAGAATATTGACGGCAATCTGATTATTCCATCACGGACTGTTTCTCTCACTACTAAAAATATTATTTCAGTAGACTTAAACATGGTGAACTAATATCTGTTTATACTTACCCAATGTACATATTCATGAGAAGGTACACATTTTCATAATGTGGAAATTATCCTTAAACTGGCTATGATAAGTTGTAATTTGGAGACGTGACTTATCCATACCTTCAATTTATCGTATATGTATGACAAAGCAAAGGTTTCAGAAAATCAGCAATCGTTTACGAAGCATTCGCATTTACGTGGAGTGTTTCTTTTTGCGAATTCACTACCTCAGTAAGATTTCATTTCACATGTACCAATAGAAAATACGGACACTTTCTCATCAACGCACAATCAACTCACAAACATTTAATTTTATTCAAAACTAACATCATCTCATATATCGTTTTGTTGCTTTGTGGTCAAGTCACTTTTTGATCAAAGTGAAGACTTCACTATTGGTTCACATTCGATTTTGAATCCTTTTCATCATTCAACAAAAGAATCGATGTGCAGTTCCTAATGATATGTGAAATGTCATTCAGGATAGATAGCTCGATATCATTTGGTAGTTAAATGAAATTATACATGGAATATTCAAATCGTTGAAGTAAACAAAGGATATTTTCAAGTGCGAAAATAGTTTTTACTGATGAAAAAAGTTATAACATACCTCCAATGAATTCATATTCCACCATCGTGCCACTATTGATCCATGTTTCAGGAGTGATTATTAGAGGTGCTATTTTATCATGTGTGATAGAGTGAACAAGAAAAGACACTTAGAATTTTGTATTCGTTTATAAATACAACAGGTTATTCATACACCTTAGTACATCAAAAGCAATCAATGTCCAACCAGTACCATTCGTTCAATTCTGTTTCATATAAAGCATACGTTCTTTTTGAGTGAAGACTGAGGACTAAAATTGCGACTTGTGTACTGTAAGTTAAAGAATAAATGAGCGTAAATATCATTTCTTTAATCTCGTCATTCATATGTCCCCGTCGGAATGCGTCAATCGGTAACAATAAGACTGAGCCGCATCAAAATATCCATCCGCACTTTAGGGATAAATACATTCATACACCTTAGTTGCTTTACTCAAGATATCTGGTTAAGTGAGTATAAGCATATGTGGAGAGTGAAATCTATTATCGGTGAAATTCATCACAGAAAGCTGAAACAACACCATAACGATCTCACTCTGAATCATTTCTGTGTCATCATCAACTATGATAGTTTTTGATTTCAATACATATAAACTTGGATTTCAATTCAGTTTATAATAATGGTCCTATGTTCGAAAGCCCTAGTCGCAAATATCAAACACTTTCACTGACAGTCACGATCAGTGTGACACTGCATTTTTCCTACAAGGAGTGTGAACATCGATCTAACTTTGAATGCTCACAATTCAATAACATTTGAACAGTGCCTTTACAAGACGCATATCAATTTCATTTTGCACAATTATCCACAACACTTCAATGACATTTATATCAGTTGATTTTACAAGCCAATCAAATCTTAAACGCAAACTGTAACGAGACTAAATTAGATCATTGTGATAGAATAAAGGAATGCTTTGTATTGACTTTCTGATAAGCAGTGTAAAACAGAAAGTAATACAACACAAACAGATAACTGAGGATACGATTATCCTGACATCAATGTGCTGACAACATTTGTTGAAATGATTCTTACTTCTTCCACATGCGATTATCGGTGTCCATTTAATTTCTTTAATTTCCCTTGAAACCTGAAAGAAAATGTTGATAGTTTGAGTCAAGATCTGTCAACACACAACCTCCTAGATGAAAGTGAGGTGATTTATTTTCTAATAATTCATTGTTTTTAACAGGTGCCTGAATACGTTGTGTCATCAAAGGTTAAATAATAGTGTCAAATATTCTGTTTGCACTTTACAGAATGTTGCTACATCTGTTTCGTGTTCAATGCGACTAGATATATTTGACAGTATTCATAAACATGAAATAGTTGAGTAATCTGAAGTACTTGAAACAAAACTACATTTGCATTCAATTGTGCGACTTACTTTATCATAATACAAAACTATCTTCCCATTCGGATGTATTAGGCAAGTTACCTCGGCTGTAAACTCTACAATAAAAAAACCATCGACATTTAGAACATTCGACGAAAACAATGACCAGTTTATCGGTAGATGTGACATAGTATATGTCAGATCATTAAGTGACCATGTTTCAGTGAATATTTACTGTGTTATATCAAATATTTTCTTCAGCAGACTTCATGTTAAACAATTTCAAGTGCACATCAAGGGAATGAAAGAAGCATGCGTTGTTTGCTTACAGCTTGAACTTGTGGATTTAATTGGTTACATGGTTACGTGATATTTCAATCGATCAACTGAATACAACCATAGTGTTTATTTGTTGCAGATAAGAAACGAACAGCCCTAGATAGATGGTGTTAGGGATATTTTCTTAATATTTGGGTGGATAATATTTAGAAATGACTATGAGATTAATGGATGGGTAGATGAATGTGATGTGTACAGAACTGACTATGTGATCAGCATACAACACAATGTATTTATTTTCAAACTGAAACTGTTCATCAAATTCAATTCAAGCCTATAAACGGCAAAAAATCTGTGAATTCGTTTTCACACAAATGAAATAAGATTGTGACCTGATTTATCCACTATAGTGATCTTTATTTTACTCATCAACCTTAGTGACTTCCGGATCACATCAACTATTCTTCAAATCTTATTCAGCGTCATCAAGCGACCCTGATTTCTCTGAAAAGTGACAAATGTCTACATTTTCAGTTTCTGAGACAAATTGACTCTGACAACCTATGAATAATCATATGGAATGAAGATGTCAGTGTTTAGATTCCACATGTGTTGACTTACGTTTACCATCAACGCTTTCATCAATAAACCATCTGACAGCAAATAATTCCTCTGAAATAATGAAAATAGAAATGGATGTTTAAATATCTTCATAATGAATATCTATTAGTTTTAGTAAAGGAAAGTTTTAACACGAACAACATTTTCATGCAAGTTATGATCTTCATTCTGAAATTCATTGAACCGATTTAGTCAAATACTCAAGTACCTCTCATGATAGACTGTAGAGTTGGTAATTGACAATCAAACAATACCATCACTTGTTTTGTCATTTCTACTCTTCCAACGTGTTTGTATTTTGAGGTGAATCTCTGTTTTGTGCAGTATTTTCACATGATGGTAATCAAAAGGTGTTGTGAAACACACATGTTCTGGTACGACAACCAAACAAACAAAACAATCACCATGTGTTGATAAGCTCTTGTGTAATAGTCAAGTAAAATACAGAATAATGTATGTAAAATGAAGTGTGGGAATAAGTAACGAAACAAAGTATAACTGAATAATACAAGAACTCACTCTTATTCAAAATCTGAAATACAGGATATATATTCTTTGCTCCAAAAGCTTCAATATATCCAAGGTATTTTTCTTCGCCTATAACTATGGCACCTGTATTTATTTATTGAAAATATGAAACATGATTGATGATTTGACATTGAATGAAATAAACTGAAGACTTAAATGAATTGCATGAACTGCATCTGGATTGCTGTAAAGCATCACATTATCGACATAATTTGAAGAAGAAAGGATATCCAAAGAATTATTGCATGTCTCAAGGAGTATAAACCTAATTCAATAAAGAAATGGAATCAACTTGGATTCATGGACAAAAATGTTATCAAGAAAATGAAGTTATAATTCGAAGTCAAAGAAAATTACTGACTTACCATCAGCGTACATATAGAAAATTGTGACGTAACTATTGTAATATTTAAACGACAGTTCCGGTCCTACTGTCTAAAAAACCGTAAACATAGAGACAAGTACCTTCATCACAAAATGTATTCGACTTACGAAAGGATCAGTGTATTTATCCAAACTTGTACTCACAGATGGCTGAGGCTGATTAATACTGATGCTCTGCAAATACATATAATGTCGAGACTGAGTATGTGTATAACGATCAAATTGATTACTTACATATCGATAAGAACTATTTTCAAAAATTACTTTTCCCGAAGTCGTCCATCCAGGTTGACTACAGACATCCTGGCATTCGAAGAACTCGGCAAGGCAGATGATAATTAGGAAGAATGACGTCGATTGAGAAGATAAAATGTTGTGTCTAAAATGGTCCAGATGAAATAAACAACGTTATCTCATTGCATCAATTTTCAAATTGAGTTCGTATGTTCAGTCAACACTCACCTCATCTTTTTGTTCAAAGTAGTAAGTCATATTTGAATAGAACGTGTCAGGTTTATATAGAATTTTGAAGTGTAAGGTTATTTGCTACTGATTCGATGATTCAAACTGACCATTAAAATGAATATACGTGATAAAATCGCATGTTCATTGTCAACCAATCATAGACGTAGATGAGACCATCTTTATTCAATATTTTTCTGGTTGTTGAGAATATGAGCTGAAATTTATCCACAGTTGCTTGAAATTCCTGACCCCTATTGATGAAACCTATCATGGATGTGATTAACAATAATTCGTAATCAACGGTTGGTTAACTTGTGGTTCAAAAGACCTGCTCATTTGTTCATGAACAAACAGTTTGTTGTCTGTAATAATCTGTTAATTGACATTTAATAGTGCACCATCTTGGTTGAATTGGCTAAAATAAAAGTAGCACAAACTGTTTTGATTGGATGTGAAAACTTACACATTCACATTTGTATTTTATTTCAATAAACACATTCTGTCAAACGATTGCATAAGTCGTTTAATATGAAGTGGCAACTTGTAAACAAAGCCACATCTATTCTATTTATCCATCATATTACAGTGCTGACTGTTAATAGATTTCGGAAATATTTATCTCTCGGTAATATATACAAACAGTTCTTATTTCTAGGTACAACAGAGGTGTATTGTCCTTCATTTAAGAAAGATCTCGACATTAAACAAAATGTCGTTTCCTCAGGTATTACAGTCTGTAGTCGAACAAACAGTTGTACTGTAATTTCGGAAATTGATCAACTTCAAAATTGTGTTCAATGATACATTGCTCATTCCATGTTGTTCATCATGATCTAATTACCAGAGCAAAAGATACCTGCTTATCTTTTAGTGTCAATCAGTAATTGTGTTCAGGAAGTGTATGAGTCAGATTATCAATTATTTGATACGATGTCTCGTTATACCAACTTGTGTATTTCATATACTGTTATTAGGAAATATGTTGCAAGTACACAGTATGGCTTACTGCATGATTTTGTCGTTATGCGATGTCAACTAATACAGCTTGTCAATTCTTGCATATAGCCTAATGCTCCGTACTTTTCTCCATTATCCATTCATGAGCGTTGGAGAAAGGAACTTTGATGTATTGCGGAGAGTGCTTGAGGCAGTTAGCAAGGAGTGCGGAGAACCTTATGAAGTCATTGTTATTAGGACTGTAGATAAACATTTATGTCTAGCTAAATCCTGTTAGGTGACCTCTTATTATGTACTAATCACCCAATTGATTTATACGTCTCTCCTTATATATATTTTGTTAGAACGAGACATTAATGCATTAGAATCCATGTATACAAGCAAAAGTATAAGAATCCTACAATACCTTATCTCGATAGAATATACTCTTAGTTTTTCAATGTAATTTTGTGATGACAGCACAAATGATCGTCATATTTTGAATGTTAAACACTGCCATTCCTCTACTTAATGAATGAAGTTTTCTCAAAAACTCCTTTCAACAACTTGTCGATTACATGAAGTGTACTTCAGTGTTTTTCATTAATTCAGCAGAAGATTATTCTTCTTTAAATGATCTCTTTCTTCCTCATTACATCTTCAACGGAGACTTATATACTTCTTCTACTTATTACCAATGTGTGTATGTTCTAATGTCGAACATAAGATTGTGCTCCGCGCTTCAACGATCATCAGTTTTGACAAAAACAGGAAAATGTGCAGGGTATTAAGTGTGGATAAACGGGACTTTATCAGATTTATAATGTTCATTGTAGCTTATGAATTTTACTATGGTCAGCTTTACAAAGGGAAATTCACCTACACTTATTCATAATTTTATCATGGGGGAACAGAATTAACCAGATAAACAAGCTGAACAAGAATAAAAACACTACTCATTAAGTTCAAGTGTGTGAATGAATTGCTTGCATATTTGCTTACCTACTTACGACATCTGAGATTTTTGAAAACAGACATTCCAGATTATCTAAAAGCGTATTTTGAACATTTTTCTCTAGCGAGCAACTCAATCAGCGAATTTTCAACGATCAACAGATGCTTGGAACCGCCTAAATTTATATCAACCCGTATATGCACTGAAGGCACAAATGGTGATGTGCTGAAAAGAATTGATTCAAACCTATGTCAAATGACTTTGATAAATAGTATTTGTCAGATAGAAAGCGATATATGATTTCAGTTCCATATTGTCTGACGTTGATTGTTTGCCGTTTTAATTGTTCATGTTTCGTATTCTCTCCTTTTAAATAGTGTACACTTATCTCCTGCAGGGAAACAACACGTGCTTCATATGTACTCTTGAAGCTCTATTGAACCTTTACGATTCAGTGAAGAATATTTGTCTGTATATCACATATCATCATCACATCTACTATTTCAATACATTTAATCTAATATGGCTTTACAGTCAATAAATATCCTTTTAAAAATAAAAATAATGATGATATTCTTAGTGTACACTATCGGAGAGTGTGATTTTAATATGGCGTCAGTCTGTTGACCTCAGTTGTTGTTTGTAGAAACGTCAATGTATGTACTTCTATGTTGTTTATCTCCATGTTCTATCTAAATAATCAAAATTATATGATTTTCTCTTTTGTGTAATGTGCCTGATATAAATCTTGAATATCATAAGGAATGTCATTTACTAATGATGCTCTTATATGCCAGACGGTCATTTACGTCCACGGAACAAAGTTGAATGAAATTTCCATTTTGCAGATGAGTACTATTTTTCTAAAGAGAGATTCAGGTGAAAACGAGTAGGTTGTCGTTCAAATGAGCTTAGTGAAGGCGTTCTTATAGAATTGTCCATTTAGTACGTCCGCAGTTCATAAATCTATGGAACTATGAGTAATAATTCCGATGATTTTAGACTCGACTAGTTAATACGTCTCATGAATACTTTCTATGGGACTGTCATCAAGATGATTGATCACATAATCCTCATGACGTTCTGTGTATCGTTTTATATCATTCAGTGTGACAGATAAATTGATCTTTACCCGATATTCTGTATAGATGAATATGACTGTTGACCAAATGTACGTTTGTGTTAAGTATTGATTGAAGTCGGATATCATCGTGAGATGTTAGTGATCGAATTTCGTAGAACATAGAATACGTCTTGAAATATATTTGGTAATGAAATTCTTCTTAATTTTGCAGCAGAATCAAAATTAGTTTCTACACAAGTAAACAATCGTAGATGAAGATTTATATAGCCTGCCGCCTATGTCAGCATCCACTATTTCAAAATTGTATATGTAGTTGATGTTTACGAGGAGATACTTTGATTGATTTTCGATGTTTGTAGTCTTTCGGCAGGAGTTCTTGAAACAAGTCAGTATAAATCAGTGGGATTTACTCTTACTTCCGAAAAAACCAATACTGCCCGTGTCATCCAAACTCATATCACTCAATTTTGAACAATGAAGAGAAAATGTTGCGATATTCAAACGACAAATGGACTATGGCAGGACAGAGATATTCATGTGTCATCATTCTCCAGCACTTGAGTACCTATAGAATACTGTCAATCACGTGTTCTGTCAATCATTCATTATCACGTGATTTTCACGCAACTCTTGTTTTCACGACACAAACCAGGAGACTTTGACAGCCAAACTCACCGTAGCCCATTGTTCTGAATATATATACGTTTTACTGTTGGTCAAATGTATGTTTTCATTGAATATTCATTGAGGTTGATAGGAACAGTTGAGTAAAGTAGAAGTAGATCAAATTGTTCAAGAAAATAAACGTCTTTGCCAAGTCTGTCTCTCCATGTTGAAATTGGTTTTATAAACTAACAGAGGTGGAATAACTCACACTACCCAACATGTGGATATTAAGTCCTTCGAAACATGCATGAAAATTATTTCATTATTGACTGAGGAGTGCAAGTGTGATCCTGTTGCTGTGTGTGAGTGATTGAGCATGTAAATGAGTATGTATATCGTCTGTTTAAATAAGTCAACCATATGTCCATGTTTGGATGAGTCAATGGGTACCCATAAGCGTAATACGTCCATAAAATATCTACTCACACCCTAGTTATTTTACTCAAGATATCTGGTTAGGTGGATGTCAGAAAATGCGGATCTTGAAATTCATCTTTGATGAAATGTAGCACAGAAAACTGAAACAATTCGGTGACATCTATCTTCCGGATACACCAATCATAATTCCATTAGCTCATTGCAACATGATTTTAGTCCAAAGTTTATTTTTATAAGTCATTATCACTGATCGAATGACACTGTCTGTAAATTGAGTTCATTGACGAGTTTGACGAAATGACATTTATGCAGACTCAAGTGCATGTGAGATGTTATGCTCTACACTAACACGTTAGTTTTCCTCTTCTCCGTTACCTGGTTTCATACATCTGTATAGGTCGTCCAAACGGTTGAAATGAAATGATCGAAAACATATTGTGAAATTCACACAACCACATGTACCAGTTTGTTCATCACACAATCAAGACAAACACACACACACAAATTCCTGCTTCACTGCATCATATTGCAAATGTCACAATTCACAGACCCACTAGTACACACACTCACACACAAACATGGATATGACACACACACAATAACAGTGAGGTACACATAATGACCTCCTTATAATGTTGAAGATCTGGAAAATCTAAATGAATTAGATTGATAGCAACGGCATGTTCTACATTTAGTTAACAC